GCTGCTCGCCCGGCCCGTGCTGCTCGCTGCCACACAGCCTCTGCCCCGGGCCAAGCGCACCGACGCGAGCCGCAGTCCTCGGCTCTGTCGCTCGTGAAAGCGGCCTGGGGAAACTTCGCGGCGCTCGTTCATTCACGTGAGAGTCCCACGGCGCTCAGCCAGGTTTGGGCTTGGCACAGTGAGGTTAAGGAGAATCTCTCAAGCTAAGGGGTTCAGAACAGCGCGAGCCTGTCTCTGCCAGGAAAACACTCCCGTGATTGTCCTGCAGTGTGTGCCTCCAGAGTAAATGGCAACAGGGGCAACCACAACCGGGAAAGGCTGACGGGCTGGTTTACTTTGAGCTAAAGGCAATATGTATATTATTTTAAGGCTACAGCAGAGTTCTCCACGCCTCTCGGTATTTGTGTGCACCTGAGGGCGTACAGCGCTGGGCAGATACTAATCCCAGCCTGCCTAAATACTACCTCCTCAATCTGCTCAACAAGGAGGAACGAGCTGAGTCACGGCACAAACTTGTTGGCAGAGCCCAGCTCGCCCCACCCCCAGCGCCCGACCTTGCCAGATCCCCACCTTGGTGTCGTAACCTTCCTACCAAGCCTCGAGCACCTCCCCGGGGAATGTCACCTCCCTGGGGAATGTCACCTCCCCGGGGAACGCCGGAAGGACCAAGGCCCTCTCGTTGTTGCGGGGCAGTTTTCTAGCACGGTGGCTTGTCGCTGTGATGCCTCTGAGGAAGAAGCAGTGCAGGATTTCCCGGGTGATGTGTTGCAGTGGAGTTGTAGCTCGGCCGTGCCTTCTTGCTTTTCCTTCGACACAAGGCAGGAGCACCCAAACCTTCTCCCTGCCTTCCTGGGGGTGAGGTCACACCCATGCTGGACAGGCTGGGCAGTCGGTGTGTCTTAAACAGAAGACACTGCATCCTGGAACCTTGCCTCCTCCTCAAGTCGGTTTTACTCCGAAATAGCAGTAACCCGTCAGCTGTGATTTGAACAGGTGTATCAGCCACGGCTGTAACTAAGGAACCTTCCCAGTGCCGCTGAGTCAAACTGGAGCGTGTTTCCAATTCACACAGGCACAGAACACTTTCCCCAGGCAGCTCTGGGGTGCCCAGAGAAGCTGTGGATGCCCTATCCCTGGGAGTGTCCAAGGCCAGGCTGGATGAGGCTTGGAGCAACCTGGGCTAGTGGAAGGTGTCCCTGCCCATGGCAGGGGGTGGCACTGGGTGGGCTTTAAGGTCCCTTCCAACCCAAACCATTCCAGTCCTGCCCGTGCCTCGGCCGTAATGCGAACGCTTCCGTGGTCTCAGAAAATACAGGGGGGGAAAAAAAAGTGTTTAATGTCAATAAACTTGGAAAGATTATTAAAACGGAGCGGCAGACGTTTTTTCCTGGCACTCTGCCTGCTGACGCAGTGCAGCACAGATCGAGGTTTCAGGCGCCGGTCAGTGGTCACACCAACAGCTATGGAGCAAAGAGGATTTTTTTTTTTAAACCCTACTCCAGATATAGAAGCCATGAGGTGCTTGTTCATTACCGTTTGCTTAACAACTTAATTAGTTCAATGCGGAAGCAGAGCGGTGCAGAATAATCCAGTCTCTCCCAGGAGCAGGTGGCTCGGAACCCCGATCAACGAGTGTCACCGACTCCAGGGACACGTTTTAAAGGAAAAGAGGGCAGTGCCCCCGCTTCGGTCCTACAGCATTCCTCGGCCAGCGTTTGGGAGAAGCCAATCACAGCCAATTAGAAGTACGAGGCTTAATTCAAGGCTGAAAATAACATTCCTGAAGTCACTGACTTGGAAAGAAAGGCAAAGCGTGCAAACAAGCGTTTCAGGACGGAAACTGAACCACCTGACAGGGCTGAAAAGCAGAGCGAGCGCGGGGTTGCCATCACCTTCCTCCCTCTAAATTACACAGGGGTCTGAGCCCACTTTTAGGGAAAACGGGATGGTTGAGCAGACTGGCCCCGGGAGTCAGACGATTTCTGACCTTAGCTCTGCCTCTGCATTAACTGGGACCAAATAGTAATTTTAAAAATAATCATCCCACTGCACACGCACTCCTTAACCTGCAGTCAGCGTGCTCGTTGGAGCGACCTGTCGTGTGCGTGGAACACGCATGTTTAGCATACGGAAGAGGAGTGAGTTTCAGGTCAGTGATTCATGCTGTTGGCATAAACATGAAGAGGTCATGCAGTCATTCCATCATCAGACACCTAACATAAAGCCCAGGTTTTATAAATGTTTATTGCAAACAGGTCAAAATCAAAGGCCAAGTTTTAAATAAGAAGAAGCAGACGTAGAAGCCAAACTTTGTCTCCAGTTGGCTACCCAGAAACTCTGCGGCATCCCACTCCCAGATTTTCAGTTCAGGTTTTCGCTATCAAATATCAGCAAGGTTTTTATTCCAATTCAGGGACTGAACTACAGTCGAGCTGAAACGTTCACAGTACGGGAGACGAGTGGTTAGTGCCACCTGGTCGGAACGGCTTTCTGGAGGAGACAAAGGACACAAAAAGGGAAACGCTAACCTAGCTTTCCACCTGAGGTAGGCAGCTCACGGTGACTTGACGACTAGGGGTTGGGGTTTCTGAAGCTTTCAAAGCTGCTCATCTAATGAAATGCTTTAGGGAACAGTTGAGATTGTTGGTTTCGTATTTCCGATAGCGAGAAACTTTGTTTTGAAAAAGTTAAGTACACAATTTTTTTTGTAAATAGAAACATTCCTCTTCTGTTACCAAAATAATCAGAAACATCATAGAAAACTATGCCTCTTTCCTCTAAGACTTTAAGCCTGCTTTATAACAAGCCACGTTAAAGCAGCCAGCTACCAGCTTGCTGTTCACAGTGTGGAATACGCAGTTCCTTCCCTTCCTTCTGCTCTCCAGCTGAGGAACACAGATCAAGAAGGCTGTACCTGAAGCATTTTAACCTGTCTACACACACGGAGGTGTCAGTTTTTCAACCGTTAAGCATTAAGTTCGCAGTCCCCACCGACACGTCGGCACGAGGGTACGTACGGCGTCTGTAACGCGCCCCGGGCAGCTCCCCCTCCGCAGGTGTCGGTGAGCTGGGTTTGCTCCAGCGGCCTTCAGAGCCGCTGGTTTAGTTAAACATCCAGAAAGACAGACACGGAGAGAAGAAATCCAGGCTGCTTCTGCGAGAGAAAAATTCAGACCCCAGTCACATTATTGAACAATCTGGATCCCAAGAAGGCAGAGGCTAGTGACCAAAGAACAGCTCCGAAACGGGTCTGCGTTTCACGACGACCTCCTCTTCCTCTTCCGTTACCTCGGAGAGGGAGGAGTACGAAGGGAAGCCACCTCTGGTCTTTGGCTTCCTCCTCGGGCCCGTAGTGGCAGCCAGGAGCTTGTTTAAGGACGAGGGCTTCCTTAAACCTTTGGTGAGATCGTAGAAAGCCATGTCATCCGATATGACCCCCAGGAAAGTGCTGGTGGAGCTCAAGATCGAAGCCGCGAGCTTTGTGCTCTTCTTGATGGGCACAGAGGGCTCCCCGCTGTGGGGAAGGCTGGGATCCCCCAGCAAGCGCCTGACCGTAGAGGAGGTCCCTTCCTTGAGGTACTGGTGCGGCTTCTTCCCGCTGTAGTCCCTCAGGTCGGTCTTGGCGTGGTAACTGTAGACCAGCATGGTGATGATCTTCTCCTGGCCGTGTATGGCAGCCAGGTGGAGCGCCGTGTAGCCACCGTGCGATCTGGCATCCACGTTGACGCGGGTGCCCCCCTTCTCGGCCGCCCTGATGATATTCGTCACCATGTCACAGTTGCCGTTCTTGGCGGCCCAGTGCAGGGCGGTGAAGCCCGAGATGAAGTCCCGGCGGGCGGCCAGGCTGGCGTCGCCCAGCAGCAGCCCATGGAGCTGCTGGGTCCACTGCCCGC